TCATGGTACTTAAATGGGATAGTCTCCCACGAGTGGTCAGGTACTGATATGTAGATAGTCTCCCACGAGTGGTCAGGTACTGATATGTAGATAGTCTCCCACGAGTGGTTAGGTACTGATATGTAGATAGTCTCCCACGAGTGGTCAGGTACTGATATGTAGATAGTCTCCCACGAGTGGTTAGGTACTGATATGTAGATAATCTCCCATGACCTAGTTATCAGGGACATGTCTGTGGATGTTATTGTGTTGTTTACGTATTGAGTGACAATCTTTTGGCCTTCCTTGGCCTTTCTTTGGCGCCTTGTTTCTTGGCATTTCTTTGATTTCTCAGAATCGCCTGTTTCTTTTGGATTCGGTTAAACAGTGTGGTCAACGAAAGATTGATCGCCATTATTCTCATGCATTGTTGGAATGTTTCTTATATAGTTACGTATTTCAGTGTTTATGCTTATGTGTGGTGATGTCATGTTATAAATTTGGACATCACAGACGTTAGTTATATAGGTAACAAGTAATGAATTGTTAAACTTCCACTGTGTAGGTTCGGAAAAATCATGTTATCATCGGTTTGAATTTCCTTCGACAATCTCTGTCATATATAACTAAATAGCGTTCAAAATCCTATTTCAGGGGTCTTTTTTATATCAAGCATAGACAGCAAGCTCTGGGGTATTGTACTGTCAATTTCCCATTCAATTGTAATTCACTGTTTAATTATTTGTGAATTTGCAAAAACTTAATTTCCAGTTTACGTACGGTGCCGATATTTTAATCGCTGGTGAATATAGTGAAATAGTGCACCTTTATCATAATTGGATTCACCCCATTCTCCAAACACAAGCTGGATATGTAACACAGATGGATACAGCATTTATTTCTTAACAGGTGCGATGTGAAGAGTTGTATGTTCCATCTGTATTATGAATATCTTACTTTCTCTCTTTATCACGATCGTGGTTGGTGTCAGGCACAAAGAAACCACGACTTGTACGAATAAAAATTTGCTCTGTGTTATTGTTAACTACGCGAGTGCTTTAACATGCAACCAGAAGATGTGCATCGTGTTTTCTCACATCATCAAAAGGACACACTACAATTCATTATTTCACATCATCAAAAAGACACACTACAATTATTTTTTTCACGTTTTTACTGACAATGTACCAATTTCAATAACAAAGATCAAACGAGACCTGTTTCTCTAAACAGACGGTAAGCTCGGTCCACTTGACTTGCCGTGCATTTGCAGTGCTTTATTGCGTAATCAATGCAGATTTTAAAGACCTCTGTGACTCTTCTTCTCTTTTTGACAGAAAAGATTACAATTTTAAACGTTTGAAGTGCTTATAATATTATCATTATATGTGATATGATCTCAGTACAGGAATAATTTGTGTTATGCAACGATAGAACAATCGGTAATAATTTGTATCCGTTTGTTTTATCTAGGGATTCGTGTTAACAAGTCGACTGATCTAAAGGTCGACAAGATTGCCTTTAGAGCCACAACAAAACATGAATTTAGTAATTATAAATCATTCCTAATTATTTCTCTGTTTTAAGGTCAGAGAGGGCGAATTAAGTTTTAGAACTTGTGCCCTATCCCATTGTATATATTTATTGCAATAAAAATATGTTCAAATCAAGGTCAGAAAATTTATTTTTTAAGATTATTGACCTACATATATAAAAGATCGTGAAATAATTAGAGAAGATGTGAATTCATACACTTCTAGACATGGGTACCAAACATGTGCTATTTATTGCTTCACAAGAGTTGGAACAGCTCTGTCTCTTGGTGCGAGCGGGTCGTTTCATAAAAAATCAACCATAAGAACACACAATTCTTTAAATTGATCAATTATGTTCCGTGTTATCTAGCAATAAGCAATCGTATAACAGCGCATCCTATCCTAACTCACAACAGATGTTCATAAAGGGGAAAAAAGTCAACTAACAAGGTACGGAATGGCGAAATTATTTCATCCCCCGCGATATCAAAATTTGTAAATAACCTTTTTTTTAAAAAAAAAAAAAAAATAATAATTAGATATATTCTAAATCGTTTCTTTTTCATCCATTCTCTCTCTCTCTCTCCTCTTCTTCTCTCTCATTTGAACTTTAAAGAATGTATGTTGGTTCGAGATTCATAAAGATCGATGTTGTCTTCAGTTGCAATGTATTAGAATAAGATCTAAACTACCATTGCCTGAAATTCATGTGTACATTATATAGTATATTTAGAAACTTGGGCGTCATTTACCACTATGATTATAAATCCAGTAATTCATATGACGACTTTTGTTTCGTTCCATAATGACTTGTGCGATATGTTTCAAGGTTTCCTTAATCACTTATTTATTTCAGAGGATTTTTGCTGCCTCGGTAGCTGCAGCACTGTTTTCGTAATTAAGCGTTTTATCGAACCTTTTGAATTTTTTTCAGCATCCACCCTCAGCTTTTTCATTCAACACTATGTACTAATGAAAAGGTGATTGCATCTTTCAATATTTTAAAAGAATGTTTAAGATAAGGTTTTTAATTTATATATGGGGCAGGGATTTTATTTTTTGATATATCTTGTTTAATTAACTTTAATAAATAAAAATTATGAAAAGTGTGTAAAGCACTTGAGTTTTACTCAATTTAATGTACATTTATCACTTTTTATCTCACATTTATATTGGAGATAACATGAACTTTTATCTTTAAATGTAAACGATAACACTAATACACTAAGGATACAATAATAAAGTATTGACAACGAGCTGTATATCATCTCCACAAATAAGGATTCATAAGACATAGGTCGATCAGTTTAAATTCAGTCATAATTAGTCGATTATAGTCAAAATGTATTAAGGCAGATGTACTATAATTAAATTTTATAATGACAAAATACAATACCAGGGTGATTCTTTCGAGATTCGACAGAAAAAAACCTGATAAATATGCTAAACCAAAAAAAAAAAAATGATAATAAAAATAAATAATTGCTCCCCAGTTTTACGTGCACTCCTCTTAACCTAGAATTTTACAAAATATAACCGACACACATTACTAATGACAGATATAGGAGCCCAATTCCTAGCTTTTCACATTATAAGTGATAGTTATTAAAGAAAGTCTTTCGTACTTGAGAAGGGACCTGTCAGAGCGCTTTCAGTTCATATTTGTAGCCGCTAATGATCATGTTGTCAGAGAGGGCCTGGTTATTTGAGGATCTCTGAAAGCGAAATTTAAACGTGAAGATTTTTACAAGGGTCTTTTTCTCAAAATTTTCACCTCACCACTTAGTCAGAAAATTAGATGCTATGGATTTAATGTGAAAGCCGTGTATACGATAGAGAAAACCTGATATTTAGCTTGTTTGAACGTATTGGTATTAGGAGTTTGTAATTTTTATTAGCCATTTTTATTTTAAAATAACCGGCAGACCGATTATCAATTAGTGGTCTAAGGTTCCTAATCATCGATTACAGGAGCGGGGATCTTGGCGGAATTTCAAGGGCACCTGTTTTCTTCAGAATGATTTGTTTTTTATGTTTGTAATTAATATATAACCCCACTTTTAAAATAAATTTACTGAAAATATTCATGTTTCAAAAACGTTTCAATGTTTCAGTACGTGGTAAATATTGATAACATTTACTTATACTAATAAACTCTGAATAGTTTAACTTTTCTCAATAAAGTCCGCGAAGTAGTCGGTAAATTCTACTCCTAAAATAAATGTAATATTTAAGTCTTGATTCTGTGTCGTTTATTTGTGGACATGAAATCGTCCAAGGCAGTCCGGTGATTGACTGTACACTACTGAGGATGCAACGCGTGAGCACTGAGTGTGGCTCTTGGCTCTTACATAAAAATAACAGTATAGCATCCAAAAGGCATGCCAATTAGTCACACCAATTATATCATATATCGGCAATAATTCCTTGATTATTCTGGATGGGGGAATCGTGTGAAATAGGTTGTCACTGAGAACATCTAACGGAACTCAGATCTGGAGACAGTGTCAGGAATGATATATGATATGTGTATATCTGATATATACTGATATATTGAATTACCGATATAGCGGAGTAAATTCACCAGTCCCAAGGAATGCAGTAGAACTCAATTCAAGTGAATTCCTTTGGACCGGTGAATTAACAAAGTCTGTCTGAGATAACGGGCTGTCTGAGTCACGTGATTAGCGCTAATTCCATGTATCTTCCTATAGGACAGTTATATGTCCTAGATTTTTTTTTTTTACCTTCAATGCATTCTTTAATGATGATCAGAGTAATTTGATATTCGTTCTCGTCGATTAATCATTTTTCTTTTATTCTTTTTATCCTTAATTAATTTATTTAAAAAATGTTCATGATGTTACTTTTGGTATAAAAGAAATCATAACAAAGTGAGAATTATAGTGCTTGAACAATCGATATGTTGTAAATGTTTTTTTTTTTTTTAAATTCTATTTAAAATAATTATTTTATCAAAGAATTCCAAAGTAAATCCTCTTTAAATAAGAATATTTTTGTCTATTTTTTGTCTTTATATTGTCTTTAAGTTGTTGAATTGCAGTATTTTGATTACCTAAACCTTGGTTTACCGAGTAAATCAGTGATGTCCGATCTTAAGTAACAAACTAACTCACAGTTTTGAAAACATCTAATCGCATTTGTTTACCAGAAGCAATAAGATGATTAGGAACAAGAAAAAACCCAAAGATGGTTCTCGCTGTTGATGTTAAAACCCGGAAATACTTCTTATAGGGATTAATAACTTGGTTGCTACGCTCTCGTATGCTGCTGTCCACTTAGAACCTTGTTGGTCAGCATTCTAAGTAATGTCCCTTTTCTCTTCTATAGCAGTGTTGTTGGATCAATTGATTGAAGGTAGAAACTGAACATTCGTGTTTTCCTATCGTGCGCACGCCTGGAGATGGACCGTGGTTCTGTCTGAGGAATCTGTGTTTTCGTGTTTACAGATTTCGGAGCAGGAGTAACTCGCTGGATTTTTTCTGTATTTTCAGAGAGACGGGAAAATTCTGATAAAACTGTGATCTGGACAGAAGCACGTGCAGCACTGAAAAGTAAGTTTATTCTACTTGTTTGAGTTCCCCGAATGCTGTATTTGACGGAACTGAATTTCATAAAATGTGAATAAGATTATTATTGTCATAATTATATAATTTTGGGGATTGCATAAAAATTCATCTTTCATTAGATATGCTATTTAAAGTTTTATTCTTTAACTTATTTAAAGCGGGATAGAATAAACATTTTTTTTTGTACTTAAACATTTTATTGAAACATAATCAATAGGATTGGACACAAGTTTTACCAACTTAGAATTGTCCTCTCCAACACAAACAAAATGAAATATACATATACACGTGATGTACAACCAACAAATGTATACAATACAAAAAAAGTGCAGGGAAATAAGAAAAGGGTGGGGGAGGTGCAAAGAAAGAAAGGAAAGGGGTTGTAATTTTTTCGATGAAAAACTATACAAATATGTATTATTTTGTTATTCTTTTCTCAAATACATGCATTTGTCAATAATAAATTCTTTTTTTAAAAGTAAACATGATTTCTTCATCAACTTTCTTCTTCTCAAAAATGCATATAATATCAGGGGGGGGGGGGGGGGGGAACGGAGTATGAAAAAGGAAATATAGGGAAAATATGAAGGAAACTTTTACATATCTTTTGCATATCTATAATGACATGTAGATCATTCAGAAGTAGAATGTCGGGACCAAAGGATGTCTGGGTTTATTAGCTGTACCCTTTCCTAAGAGTTAGTGCAGTTTCATTGATAATGTGGAATTTTTTAGGCCGTGACATGCTCAACCTTACGTCACATTGACCCAGTGCAGTGACATACGTCTATTTTTTTTTTTTTTTATTTGCTTCAGAGCATAAGAAAATTCAGGTAAATTTCATATAGATTTATCAATGCCAAGAAAGATAATAATAATAATAAACTTTACCCCAAGAATGACAGGATATATGGTCTTATAGTTGTGCAAGTTTTTAGGTACATGTATTTAGGGGGGGGGGGGGGGCGGTCTTCTTCTTTTTTTTTTTACCCATGATTTAGTCTTAGAAGAGTATAAATCGTAGTCTGATACCAGTTTTAAATATCGTTATGCCGCAAATCATAACTATAGTTCTTAAATATCAAGACATTGCTATTTAATAAATGAATAAATATATGTATATAAAATGTACTGATGTAATCAATTTTAAAAAGATACTTAAAATATTTGAACAAATTGTTGAATTACATAGTGTAAATAAAACTTTTTTTTCTTACACGCTGCTTTGAGAGTTGTGCTTAGCTATTAAATTGGAGACCACGTGTGACATTTTAGCTGACTAAAATAGAGTTTAAAGTATAAATACAGAGAACATTTTAGTTTCCGAATCTTCGCTGTAAATGTATGTATAAAATAGACATTCTTTATTACAAAACGTTTTGTGACAATCTTTTTTTTTTTGTGTTGGTGGGAAAAAAGAAAAGACATCTACCAAGCATACTAGCTGGTAAATTAGACCATTGACTCCGAAGAACCATGAGGCAAAAAAAAAATGTTATACTAAACAGGTCAAGGCAGATAATCTGCTGTGTCTTAAAAAAAAATATAGAAAATGTTACAAATTGTCTGTGATATAAATATTGTAGGAACTGATCTATTTTTTATTTCATTTATTTTAATTTTCCCCAAATATGACCTCTATAATTGAACAGTTAGAATATCAACAAGTCCGTTTATTCAATGACAACTGTTATCACTTTACTAGAATAGCCTTTCCTTGCTTTATTGCTGAAAAGTGTATTCCAATAATTCATTAATTAGGCAGCGATATCGATGTGTCATACACAACAGTAACTTCTATATGCTATTTTCCTTTAGTCGACTATTCTGTTTTCCTGCCTTTGAGGTTGCTACAGCGGTTCTTACTCGGTAAAGAGTTCCAGTAAGTGGGTAAAAGGAGGCAACACATGCCTTTTTTGTCGTTTTAATTGCTCTCCATGTTTCCACATAATGATCCATGCTTAAAGAATTACATGTAAGTCGTTTAAAATAAAAATACTTTTTTGTATACAAGTAAGTCGATGAAAGAATTTACTTTTTGTATACACGTTAGTCGTATAAAGAATATTTTTAACGTGTAGACACTAGTTTTGTAATATTTATATAAAAGAATTGGAACTTACATGTTAAATTAAACAGATTTAGAATATAGTCGATATAAAGATAGATAGTTCAATATTATAATTTATAGTTTGAACATTTTTGCACATTTATCCTGTAGAAATCATTAATTCTATGATATCTTATACAATATCTCGGTAAGAAAATTCTCTTTCAAAAGTTGAATTTAAGCCTTAAAGGCACTGTCTGTGTGTACATGCTGCGCTTCCCTTACGCGATTTTTTTCCAGTCGCTACTGGAATAAACTCTATTATTTATCGTGGACCTATTTTATATTCCATTGACCGTGTCCTGATGTTGTCGATTTTTACTCGGCACAATTTTACGACTGATAGCGTTTTATTTCTCTTTCTCTGGTGCAAATCGCAATTTTCTTACGGTAGAGTGCCACTGAGACAGAAACGAGGGATGCCGTATATTCCAATCGTCTCTCTATCGTAAACATGCTTATTTAATAAAAGCCATGCTAGATTCATTAATCATACCTTTAAACACGTTAAATATGTATGATGTCATAAACTTCATTATTGCATGGGTTTTTTTTTCTCTCCGTTTGTGAATACTTATAGGGATAATCTAGCTCCCAATTAGACCTACGTGTAGACTCACTATGTGTTATGACTATTGTGAAATTGTCAATTTCAAAGACGAGGCTCCATTTGTTAAACCCTCTGTTACAGTATTATTCAATTGGTCTTTTTTTTTGTGGATTCTGCATCAACACGGTGTAATCGTGTATCGATAAATACTTTACCGCTTTCTTGAAATCAAAATCTAAAAAGCTTTTTACTTTCTCAGAATACCAAAATTTCTTTCTAGGGAATAAAACATACAATGGTGCAGATTTTACAAGTCAATTTGCCTTAAGTAAATTTACCTAGCATCTTTTGGGACTGATACTATAAATGAAAAAGTATTTTCCCGTTTTTTAATCGCAACCCAGTTAAGAATGACGTGGATACTTTTAGTGAATCCCTGGAGAATTTGGATAGAGAAGCATAAAAGGAATAAATTGAACTCATTTTTTAAATATAGGTGCCACCCCCACATCACCCTCAACCCCTTAACTGAATGTCTCCAAAGTGTCAAGGGACTAGGGACTCATCCATACTTAATTCATAGATACCTAGAATGCGCACCAAAGTTAAATGTACAAACCATTCACATAATGTTCCCCGAAAGAAAAAGGGCCCAAATTTATAAGTAATGAAAAAAGTGAAGGAAAACAAACAGTGATCGATCTTTAAAAACCTGCAAACAATACAATTCTGTGAACATATCATAAAACATATGGACCTTCGGAAATTCAAGAGGTGGGATCAAGTGCCCAGGAGGAGTAAGCATCCCCTGGACACAGGACACATCCGCCGTGAGCCTTTTGTCTTCATCGGGTAAACAGAGTAAACCGTGAACAATTCAGTATGAAAACAATGACCTGACAATTTGCATTAGGAACGTCAGACAACGTTCCACTTACTTGTAAAGACATATATTTGAATATAATGTCATTGTAACAACCATACAATTTGCGAAATGTTGACTTTAAAGGAGTTTGTTGATAAAGTAGACCTAGTAACATCATCTTATTTGTCAGTAGTCTGTGTCGGGTTAAGAAGGTGATCGTACAAAGAACATGCTCTTTGCTAGTAAACACTATATCCAGGTGATATTATTTATCTGATAGACGGTATACTTTATGTTTTTCTAATAATGTAGAAGATGAATGTCACTTTTGCTTTACTGTACATGTACCTCTTATTCAAATCTTAGAGGAATCTTTTTTACCGTATTGGATTTAAATCAGCTGCAATCAATATGCTAGATTTTAACAAAACTAAATTTATTTTAATAAATTTTACCAGACAAATTGCAAAATTCTTGTCATCGGCATATACTTACAGACAGTCTATATATAGTAAACTCAGTACGAAATAGACCACTGTATTTTTATTGAATATTATATTGTTAAAGGTGACATATAGGTCCGATGGGCCGGGAGTTTAAATTCCTATTATATGTATATTTTACTTTTGTAATTGTACGTAACACATGCCACTATAATAAACTATACATGTACTTACTTACCCGAATGAGAGAAATCGATGATAGAAAAGTTAATTTAAATTATACATGTATTTTGTATACAAAAATATTCAGCTACAAGAATTTAAAGAATATGGCTCATCTTGTAAAATTCGGTTTGTCTTGCTGTATATTTGATAATAATAACTAAAACTTCCAGAGTAAAAGGTGACTCATTTGATTTATTGGACACAACAGAAAATTGAATTTAAATAAAAATTAAATTCAAATAATTTGGTAGAAAAGATCAATCAACAAGATTCAGCCTCGGAGGCCTAAACTCTAACGTTAGGAGCTTATCATCAGATATATAGGAAGGATGAAAATAGATAAAACATAAATACACGTGTAAATGCACTCTTCTTCTCCATTAGATGTCTTTTTATTTTCTTTTATCCTGGAAGCAGGGTATTTTTTGTAGTCTGTAACCTACATCTGCTTAGCGTCAAGTCATATGTATTTTCCCCCTGCTGCGGCATTAACACCACCCAATATTTTGTCGAAGTAAATAAGCAAGCAAACCAAATTGTAAAATTGATTTTTTCTGTTCTTCACTTAAGGTTGATACATTAAGTATATATCTAATTTTTTTTTTATTTCTTGCATTTTTATGGGCAGTCATTTTCCTTGTGTCTTTAAACTTCATCTGATTAGGAAGAAAAAATATCAAAAATCGATATCATAGATGTCTACGATAGGTAAAGAAAAAAATCTTTTATAATGATTTGACTTTATTTCAACTCTTAGGCGAATTGGGAGTCTAACCATCATTTTCTTCTCAA